GCAGTCGCTTAACCAACTGAGCCACCCAGGCGCCCCTAGTGTGTGATTTCTAAGCCTAAGTCATAAAAGCCATCAAAGCTTCCCCTTTGGTCTTTTGCATCACCCACTCTGTGAAATGCCTTCCGCCATGCTGTGAGGATACTCAAGCATGAAGAGGCCAGGTAGAAAGGGATTAACTTGTCAGGCAAGTGAGGGAGCTGCCTTGAAAGTAGATCCCAACCCTAGTTAAGCCTTCAGATGACTGCAGCCCCAGTCAACAACTGACTGCAACCTCCTGAGAGAACCAGAGCCACAACCACTCAGCTAAGCCACTTCCAAACTCCCCATCCATAGAAACCCAAGAGGTAAGAAATTATTACCATTGTTTTAAGCCTGCTGCATTTGGGGGGTAATTTGTTACAAAGCCATAGTAATTTGAACACACACATATATACATAAAGAGCACAAATTATCCAGAAAAGGACTCAGCTCCAACTTTTTTTTCAAGGGGTCAACCCTTCCAGCAGATCAGATAAAATACTTTTTTTACTGATAGTCTTAAAGTATCAAAAAACCAAACATGGATATTTTGCACATCAATTACAGGTTTTCTTCTTAGGGCCACTGCACCTCTTCCTACAAAGTTCCTTTTTCTGATTATGCTCTGATAAAAGAAGTAGAGATGGTCTCTGTCACTCTCCAGAATTTTCCATGAATGTCTACATCGGTTGCCAGCAACCCATGTGAGTTATGAAATTACATGAAATATAATCTAATGGACAAAAAATATTAATCAAACTGAGACTATGTTGAGTATGATTTATTTTTTTTCTACAAAAGAAAGCTTCATAACTTAATTGAGATCAAGGGAAAATATTGAGATAAAATTTTAAATGGTCTATCAAATATTTGCATTGGAGAAGGGTTAAATTCATGTTTTTTCTTTACTCTGTGCATGTAACAGACTGAATATTAAAAGGCACATTATGAATAAGACTATACTGGATATGCCAAGCCCTCTGATTTTTAAGAAACAAATTATTTCTCTCTTTATAGAGTCCTACCAACCAGACTTGTTGGACCTTGCTACATGTTTCCAATCTTGCTGCATCTATGCCAAGATGAAATTCTTATGACATTAGCCAATGCCTTTTAGCCAAATGTATCAAATTATATTCATGGAATCAAATGTATGAGAGCTCACAGATAAGTGGAATAACTCAGTTCATGAAATTATATGGGCAAATCCAATATTCAGATGGCCTCTAAAGGGAACACAGCCTGTCATGCACAATAAAATTTAAAACAAAAATTAAGAAGGCTCTCCCACTGTAGCAGGGAGTTTCCCAAGCATGGAAAACTGCCTTCTGTATTCTGGGTAATTACCCAAAATATAAAATGTCTATTTAATAGTCCTTTCTTCAGCCAGACATTTCTCTACCCACAGCCATCACCTTCTCATTCCCAAGTCTACTCTCTAATTTTATAAGGAAATATCCTGGGTTGGGGCAGGGAGGGAGGGGGAGAGGAAGAAAATTTAGTCAGTAGCTATCTTGCCTCCTTGTTTTTCTGGATTTTATTCTTTACATCACGGGAAAAGAAATGTCACAAATTGGCTTTTTGTTTGCCCCCCCTTTTTTTTTTCATGTTTACTGAGCACTATTTTTTAAGATTTATTTATTTGAGAGAGAGAGAGAGAGCAGGAGTGGGAGGAGCAGAGGGAGAGAGAGAGAGAATCCGAAGCAGACTCCGTGCTGAGCCTGGCACAGGGCTCCATCTCACGACCCTGAGATCATGACCTGAGCCGAAACCAAGAGTTGGACACTTAACAGAAAGTGCCACCCAGGTGCTCCTACTGAACGCCTTCTCTGACAATTGCCGATCTAAGCAGTCAGCTATTCCATTAGTATTCCTCATTTAATCCCCAGCGACCATGTGGGGTGTCCTGCCTTTCACAGTGAGAAAGCAGAGTCTGAGAGAGAGTAAAGAAAGTCTGCCCCAGCTACATAGGTAGTCTAAGGCAGGACAGGGAATCAAAACCATGAAGTCTGAGACCAAAGCCTATTCCCTTAAACACGACTCTATATCCATGGTCATTTTAATGAATAAAACCAGCCACCAAAGGCACCTGTTTTCTGTGGCTTTATAACAAGCTATTTTATCATCTATTCTATGGGGTGGAACAGAGTCGAATCTGCAAGAAACCTGGGAATCCCCCGCACAGGTATTGTATACCTTACACAGAGTCCCTCAGACATTCCAGAAACCTAACAAAGATGCCAGCAACAGTAGTATGTGTGATTACTATACAAAGAAGTACAACGAAAGGGGTTTTTCTTGACTTACAGGACTGTGAGTGAAAACCCAAGTACTTGTCTAATTAAACTACTGCAAGAGATTCTCGAAGCAGAGTGCCTTCAAGGGAATGTGTGTAGTCACAGATTTGGACTGATGGACGGGCGTCACATCAAGCATCATCAAGACAGGCTTACTTATTTTAGTCCTATGTATTCCGGCATTAAGTATTACACCGTGCATGTTCTTGACCAGTTTTCAGAGGAAAGACACACAGTGGCCAATTCAAAACTAGAACCAATTCCTAAAATATAAATCAATCCAAGGAAATCGGTAGCAAATATGTAACTAGGGAAAACTTAGCAGTTTGTACATTGGAAAAGTGAGCTTGCTTTGCTAATGGCAAGCTGTCTGCTGGAGACTCCTCTGGTTGTGGAAGAGTAAACAATAAGTTCATTTCCCTTTGTGCTAGAGACTCAGTAATTCATTACTAGAAAGCTTTATAAAAACGCACAGTGAAAGGAATTCTAATGAATGTAAGGAGTTAATATGATTGCTGAGGAATTATCAAATCACCATTCTGGGCTGTATGGATGAGGGAGTCTAAGTGAGGTCAATACACCTAAGCATAAAATTGACAAATCCTGAACTGCCTGCCAAGGTAAAGTGCCCTTAGGTGAATAACAATAATGATGATGATAACATTATTAAAAATACCATCTGGGGTTTATGTACATTCTTTGAAAAAAATTACTTTCTGAGAAATCGTCACTAGATCATATTTAACTCTAATAGAGCATTGCAGTAGATTTTTGACCTGTCTGGTTTTCTTTTCCCCAAGATATCCAGTCCAGTATGCAAAAATTTAATTTAGAATCTTAAAAACAAAAGTTATCGTTGAGTCTTTAAAGAGCCCTAATGCAGCTATCTCCGTTTTAAAATGATGGTTCTGAAGTTTAGACAAGTTGCCCGCATCACCCAAGGTCCTACCTTTATTGTGTTCATGTCTTTGTCGATTCACTCAGCAAATGCAGTGTAAGCCGGCAATCATGCTGAGCAAAGGTGTTACTCAGCCTGCACAGGATGAATTAGTTAGTCAGGTTGTATGTGTTAGTCAATGGCAAAGCTAATATTAGATCCAGATCTTCTGACTTCAAGCCAAAGATGTACAGAAGAAACAAAAAGGTACCTATGTCCACTAGAGCGGGTAACCAATGGAGACAGTCTTCATCCCTGATAGTAATATCTACAGCCAAAGCACCATCACCCTACCTGCCATCACGGAGGCCTAATTTATTCCAACAGCCATGGAAAAGTCCAGTGATTTCAAAAACACTTAACAGTGAGTTCTGGAAAGGTAAAAGCTATGCCTCATTTTCTTCAAACCGATAGCAGGTGGCGTAGAAGTCAGTAACAGACGGGAGTATGTGCTCAGTGAAGATTGCTTGAACGAGCCAAGGAAGGTGTGTTGGAAGGTTTCTGTTGCAGTTGTATGTCATTCTGCAGGCACTCCTCATCCTTTTTGACAATGACCTTAGGGAAGAGAGAGGGGAAATGAGACTAAGAGTGGCAAAAGCAGAAGTAAAAATGGCCAATATTCAGAGATGGACAACCGTCCAAAACAGGCACACAAGCACTCTTGTTGAAAGGCAGCCGTGGGCGCCTGGGTGGCTCAGTCGTTAAGCGTCTGCCTTCGGCTCAGGTCATGATCCCGGGGTCCTGGGATCGAGCCCCGCATCGGGCTCCCTGCTCGGCGGGAAGCCTGCTTCTCCCTCTCCCACTCCCCCTGCTTGTGTTCCCTCTCTCGCTGTGTCTCTCTCTCTGTCAAGTAAATAAATAAAATCTTTAAAAAAAAAAAAAAGGCAGCCGTATTGGTGGAATTAGAGACATCAAGAGATGAGAAGTCGAAGGCTGACGGAAAAGGAAGCACACAGTAATGCCATAATCACTGACCCTGTGGATCTCCGCACATTAGGGCCCTTACAGACTAAAAAAGTTAGACCAACACAGGCATGCAGAACGCAGATTCTAAGGAAAACAACTCGTTCCAGCTGGGACTCAGAGCATCACTACTCATTATTGGCATCCATATTAAAGACAAATAGGAAGAAATGAGGCTAAAAAACAGCACTCACAATAATTCAGTAGCACATTGAATACAAGTAATGTTGATGCTCTTCATGAACAGAAGTCATACCTTCATTTTTCACCAGCTGTTTTCCCTAGCATCCCTTCCCTGAATGGCTGTGTGGGTCTAACTCTTTCAATCGGTAAGCTCCTAATGTGCAGAGATCGGCAATACCCATGAATGGAAACACGTGTTGGGAGTAAAGAAAAATAACAGGTGGATGGGAAAATTAAATTAGACATCTTGGGGATTTAAAAAAAAAGTCACTGAAATTCAAAGACAAAAACTGCTTTCTGTGGCACACAGCCAAGAAATGAAATTGCAGTTAGAAGTTTGCATCAAACCAGAACAAGGAAGCAAAGAGTTAAAAATTAGTTTAAGCAAAGGAATATCGAGAGGGTCCAACGCATATCAAACTGGAACTCTAGCAGAAGGAAAAGGAAATGAAAAAGTGAAGAAAGTCTTTCACAGCCCAGATCCTTCCTGAATCATCCTGGAAATCTTTCGTAGCTCAACAAATTTCTTAAAGTAAATCAATGGGAATTTGTAAGTGTGGGTTTCCATGTTTCTGTGCTCTTTTCCTGAATGACTAACCTCTACATAACTCTTCAGACTGCAAAGCTCTCTTCACTTACAGTCACATTTAATCCTCTCAATAGCCCTGTGACATGAGTATCATTAAACTCATTTCTCATATGAGAAAACTAAAACTCCATATAGAAACTTTCCCACAATCCCACAGTGAGAAAAGAACAGAGCCAGGGTAAGTACAATGGCGTTAAAATGTGTCCACAAATTTTTTTTGATATTTCTCTCTTCAAAAGGGGGAGCCCAGTTTCCCTTCCCTTGAGTGTGTGATTTGCTTCCGACAAATAGAGTGTGAAATGAACATATGTGATTTTCTTTTTTTTTTTAAAGATTTATTTATTTATTTGAGAGAGCGAGAAAGAGAGAGAGAGAGAGTACATGAGAGGGGGGAGGGTTAGAGGGAGAAGCAGGCTCCTCGCCGAGCAGGGAGCCCGATGCGGGACTCGATCCAGGGACTCCAGGATCATGACCTGAGCCGAAGGCAGTCGCTTAACCGACTGAGCCACCCAAGCGCCCCGTATGTGATTTTCAAGACATAGTCATAGAAGGCAATAAGGCATCCATCTTGCTCTCTCCTGGATCACTCACTCTGAGGGAAGGCAACTGCCACGTGGTAAAGATACTCCAGCAGCCTATTCAACAAGTCCACTTGGTGAGGAAGAGGCTTTCTGCAAAACGCAGAAAAAAACACTCGCCTTCTACCAAAAGCCACGTGAGTGAGCCACCTTCCAGCCTCAATTAAGGCTTTGGATGACTTCAGCCAGGGTTGAAATCTTCACTGCAATCTCATGAGACACCTTGAGTCAGCCACCTAAGTTGCTCCCAAATTCCTACCCCCAGAAACTATGAGATAATAAACACTTGTTTTAAGCTACTAGGGAGTGATTTGTTCTATAGCTATCGGATAACTGGATACACCAGGAAATACACCCAGAGGTCTCGACCCAGAAGCCTGTGTGCTTTTATTTCACACCACTACTTTTTCTATGACTTCTTGTGCAAAATCAAAATATTTTGGCCCACTCAACTTACATTTCCCTGTCCCTTCAATCTTTGCTGATTATGTCTCCTTTTTCTGGACCTATTTATAGTAGTTCCTATCTTCTTGAAACACCAGTCTCCCCTTGTAGACAATAAGGGCCACAAGAACAGGAGATGGACCAGTTTTGGCCACCAGTGCATCCCCAGGACCAAATTTAGTGTCCAGTAAGTAGTAAGTACTCAATAAATATTTTTGGATAAATAAATATCCAAAGCACATATGACAGAACCAACTGCCACTGGAACTTTATTCTCATTTTATCTTGAACCAAAGGGAAATACATTCTACATCTAAGAAGGAAGAGGGCATTCTGCTGGAGTTACCATTTTTTTTATTGATCCAAGCTCCCTGTTAGAGGTGT